ATGTTTAGTTCTATCATGTTGAACAAGATTGTGTGCAATATTGATGGCTGCCTTATTATCACAATATAGTCTCATAGGCCTATTATCACGAATTCCGAGCTCACTCAGTAGAATTTGGAATCACATAAGCTCACAAACTCTATGGACCATAACTTTGTATTTGACCTTTTGCACTAGACTTGACTATTATTGCTTGCTTTTTACTTCGCCATGTGACAATATTTTCACCTAATAAGGTGTAGTAACTTGAAGTGGATCTTCTGTTATCTATTGAACTTGTCTAGTTTTCAACAGTGAATGCTAGTTTTAAGTGACCATTATTAGAGAACAAGATCTCTTTTTTTGGGGTTGATTTGAGATACCTCAAAATACGATGAACAACTTCAAGATAAGAGACTGCAAGATCATACATGAATTGACTTATAACTCCCATTGAATAGACAAATATCCGGTGAGTATGAGAGAGATATACCAATTCTTCCCACTAATCTATAGTATCTCTCCTTATCCACAATATCCTCAACATCACTCACTAGCTGATGATTGACTTCTATAAGAGAATCTACAGGTCTACATCTCAACATATCTGTTTCTTTAAGCAGGTCAAGAACATATTTTCTTTGAGAGATAAAATGTCTTTGTTTGATCTGAAAATCACAATCTTAATAAAATATCTCAATGGACCTAAGTCTTGATCTCAAACTCTTTAGTCAATTGAGCTTTCAGTTTGGCGATTTCATGGACATTATTTCCAGTTATCATTATGTCATCTACATGTACAATGAGTAACGCTATTTTGTCATCTCTATTTGATGAACATAATATGATCAACATGACTCTGATTATATCTAATGTCAAGTTGACTTTGAGGACTTATCAAACCAAGCTATAAAGTGACTTCTTCAACTTACACCTTTCCTTTTAGTTACTCGCGATGAAAAGCTAGGGGAAACCTCCATATATACCTCCTCCTCCGATTTTCCTTGAACAAAGACATTTTCACATTGACATTTTTCACATCGAACTATTATAGACTTCATCCCAAATTAGCAGCAAGGCACAAAAGGACATGTATGGAGTTAATTTTTGTCACAGGGGCAAAAGTCTCCTGATAATCAATGTTATTCGTCTGGATGAATCCATTAGCATTCAATTTTGCCTTGTATCTCTATACTAAAAATCGGTTTGTTGTTTGACAGTGAACACACAACTGCTCTTTCTTCAATAAGAAGTGGAACTAATTCCCATGTGCCATTCTTTTTTAGGGTCTCATTTACTCTACCATAGCTTCTCGCCACTTTGGATCAATGAGAGCTTATTTCCAATTATGAGGAATAGATGTAGAAGACCAATAAGAATCAAATGTATGATAGGATGGAGACAATGAATCATAAGAAACAAAGTTAGAGATGGGGTGTTGAGTACAAGCTTAAACATTTTTTCTAACTGTAATAGAAAGCTCAGAACCATTAATAATTGGATTACCAATAACCTAGGTGACAATTGGAAGCTCATTGCCTAGTAAATCAGTAGGAGATGCTAGAACTGGAGTGAAGGAATTCAACTGACCGGTAGCACGAGTGGTTTATACTTTTTGATGTCGAGAATAAGTCTTCAGAGTACTAGGTGGATCATTGGTACCAACAATCTGTTGCTCTCCCTTATCAACATCCCACTGGAAAGACAATTGAAGAAATGGCTCTTGATATACCATCTCTTCCTCAATAGTAGTGTTCTCCCCTTGAAGAGATGGTTGAGGATGAGAGAAAAAGAGTTCAAACTCACGAAAGGTAACATTTATGCTAACATACATCTTCTAAGACGAAGGATGGTAACACTTATACCTCTTTTGAGTGGGAGAATAACCAACAAAGACACAACGCAGGGCCTTATGATCAAGTTTTCCCCTAGAGGCTCTGTAGTCATGTGCAAAATAAACACACCCAAAAACTTTAGGGGGAAGTGAGGAAACATAATAAATTGGAAAAATCCCATAAAGACACTCAATAGGAGACTTAAATTGCAAGACATCGGAAGGTAAATGATTAATATGATAAACAACGATAAGAATTTTATCTTCCCAAAAAATGCTGGGGAACATTTATAGTAAACATCAGTGAACGAGCAACCTCTAGAAGATGGTGGTTTTTTCGCTCATCAATGCTATTTTGTTTTGGGGTATGCACACAAGTAATTTGATTAAGGATGCCACTTTCAACGAGGTAAGAGCGAAAGTCCCCGTCAACGTACTCAATTCCATTGTCTATGCAAAGGACTTTAATTTTGGTATCAAATTGGGTACCAATCATTTTATGACAAGAGTGAAAACGAGAGAAAACTTCACTTTTAATACGGAGTAAGTAAACCCAAGTAATATGAGAATAATAATCAATAAAAGTGACAAACCAACTATAACCAGAAAGAGGTCAACACAGGAAGGTCACTGCACATCAAAATAAATGATAACAACAGGAAAGATGATTTTATTATTACTGCTAGGATAAGAAGAATGTTTTTGCTTGAAAAATTCACAAGCATCAGAAACAAAAAAATTGTTTACTACACTGCTTGCTAGATTAGGAAAAATATGTTCTAAAACGCTAAATGAGGGATGTTCCAAATGTCTGTGTCACTAATGTAAGATATGAAGAGTTGACACACCATTTATCTGGATAGCTTGACAAGGTGAGGGGAAGATACAAACCATCATGTGTTCTATCATTGACAATCGTTTTTCTCAATTCTAGTTCCTGAAAAGTACAATGAGTAGGAAAAAAGTCACTTAACAATTTAAGGATTTAGTAATACTAATAACGGACAATAAGTTAGTGGAGAAATTGGAAAAATGAAAACTGAGGAAAGGATAGGGTAGGTGAGCAATCGATTGAACCTTTCCCAAAAATTAAGGATAAGGATCCATTTGTTACCTTGACTTTATCCCTACCTGAACATGTAGAGTAGAAAGAGAAGAGACTAGAAGAACTTGTCATATAGTCTGTGTCTAGAATCTATTATCCAAGGAGTATGTGAGGATGAAGCCGTAAACACACTAGCAGATGTACTTGTATGAGCAAAGTTGGAGGAAGAAGTGTGGTTAGAAGTTGGAGTAGAGGAAACAAGAAGCTGAGCCATCAATCGCCTAAGAGTCTGCATCTCATCTTGAGAGAAATTAGAGGTAGTCAACTAGGATGGAGACTCTGAAGCTTTAGTCATGTGTGCATGAGATCACACATTACTCCATTGGCCACGTGTAGGACATCCAGTCAGTTTCCAGTAAAACTCCCTAGTATGTTTGGTTTTCCCACAATAGTCACGCAACAGAACCACTTGGCTCAGTAGATTTGGATAGAGCTGAGCTCAAGTCGCGATGAGGAAACACAGCTAACATAGACCGCTCCTGAATTGGTGCATGAAGTATAGTAATCCTCTAGTTGACAATGAGCATAGACCTCTCGTAGGTTAGGAAATGGATTACGGCCTAAAATCTAAACCCAAATCTAATCATACATAATGTTAGGACCAGGAAGAAAATCATACACACAATCCTTCTCAATCATTTGCTGAAATTTTACACAGAAGCATTTGCAAAGTTTGCCTGAAAACTCTGGTAGTAGTCAAACTCCTGCTATAAGGTAGTCAACTCTGCATAATATACTCCAAGGGTTTTATCTTTCTAGTTAGTCTCATGGACTTTCTTCCGGAGATCATACGCTGTAGCATCATTACCCTTCTAAGAATATGTATGTGCTACGGTAGTCCAAATCTTATGAGCTATATCAAGCAACAGAAAACCACAACTAAGAGAAGGTTGCATTGACTTAAGCAACCAAGACTGAAAAAATGCATTTTTTTGATGTCCACCGAGTGAGGAATCTGATTCACTAGGCTTCTTAGTCTCCCCAGTCAAATATCCATCTAAAGAAAAAGCTTGGACGAATGACAAGCAAATCCCTAACGATGCCAAATAATTGTGCCCATCCAACTTCTCTAGACTAATTTGAAAGGAGGGGTTTTTTGCGAGAGTACCTAAATGGCTCGACTCACTTCCTCAGGTACTTTCTATGGTACTAGTAGGGGTCACACTTCCTTTTGACATGTCCATACGGTAGGATTAACACAAACAACAGTCAATGAGTCGAGCCAAAAATTTGGCCCACAACATAAACTACCTCAACCAGCACAAGGAGAAATCTGTGCAACAGGCAGTAGCAATTTCAAGCCAAAACAGTACCAGATCCAAGCCAAAACAGCAGTTACAGTACCAGATCTGAGCCAAAACAGCAGCTACAGTACCAAATCTGGGTGGTCAAAATTGGCTAAAAACCCCAATAAATCCAATCCAAACACAACCAAACTGCATGGACATTGTAGAAGAACACTAGTCACACCTCACACACAAGGATCGAACAAGAAATAGCCTCTGGAATGCCCAGATTTTCCAGATTGAAGCTTGTAGCCGAAAAAAAGCCAAAAACATATGAAAAATCGAAGGGCCAATCAAATGACTTCAAAAAGTTCCAAAAAATACCCATAAATCTCAGCATGAAGAGTCGAATCTACCCATGAAATTTCAAATTTTTCTGACCAAGTTGGATGTTGATGTCAGCCTGACAGATGCTGATGTCAGCTGCCAGACTGTCAGCAATGAGTTTTTTCGACGATCTCTGATATCCAACGTTTAAATCTAGATTGATGTTCTGATACCAAGTTAGAATGTGATGTAATTAGGGTGAGGAAGAGAATAGAAGGAGAAGAACAAAGAAGAGATTAGGAGAAAGAGAGTAGCATGTATTAGGGTTTCACAGTTACATCCCAATATATATAACTGGAAAGTACCAAAAATACCTTCAAGTGTTACATCCTAGCATAACATAACATAACCTGTTGCATAAGGGTCTATGACTGTTTTTAAATTTTATTTGAGTCGTATGATACTGGGGAAACATGTGATTTAGTTCTGCCCAATTATTTAGTATATTGAGAATCCCATACAGCTCTATATGCCTAAACCAGTGTTATATTGGCAGGAGGTATGGGTGCCAATAAATTTGCAATATGTGGAACGTGGGCTTTCAAAAGTTTCTCTCTAAACATGGCTATATTATAGTACACTTTCTATTATGTGCCTGTGCATCTATTATTGGGTAGACCTTTTTCTATATTATCATGACTACACTGGTTCTAGGATCTATCTTAGCATTGTGTAATGTGTCACCTTGTTACCCAAGTCCTGTTAATCAGAAAATCAAGTAGAGTGGATGGTGTAGTAACATTCTAAGAAATCTGGGAGTTTTTGTCTATTAGTGATCTTGGTATACCCGCAGTGGCATAACCCTGTGCATTCATTCTCCAGTTTTATACCATGTTTCTCCTGGTAGTTTCCTGGAATTCTAAATTTACTCATCTTTCTGTTAGGGAGCCTATGTTAAAGAGAATGCTATTTCTTTCTGATTCTGTTTCAATTATATGATTCCATCAGTACTCTTCTGAATCTAGGTACTCCTTAATGGATGGCTTCGAATCTATAGACATCAGCGAAGAGAACTGGAGCTGGTAATTTCATTTCTTTCTCCCTAATAACATGTATGGTTATACTAAATTATCTCTGGGAACTTGATTTGAAATTTGTGTCATTCTTTCACAATACAGATGCAATCTGAAGTTGTCGAGGAAATCATATACGGCTTGGAATCTGGAATTTTATTTGGGTACTGTCCTGTCCTAAACTGTTATATGTGGATTGCTTGAGTTTGTTCTTTTCCTCTTTCTTTCTCTCTCTATGTTTTTCTTTTGGGGGGAGGGGGTTCTTGTGCCGTGCTAAATATTCCTTTTTCTATCTTTTGGTTTCACTAATTTAAGCAACATGAACATACAATTGCTTTATTGTCAGTCAAAACTGACAGGGATACACACTGCTGAACTTAGCAACTCATACGGTTTGTGACCTTTTTTTTTTTTTTTTTCACTTTTAAACAATGGATAGTCCATAATTAGATTTGTAAAATTATGACCCCATATACAAAGACTTCTATGAGCACTTCACTACACAGAAATTCCGGTGGTTGATCGACCCAAAAAGCTAACCGAAACTGTGGATGATAGGATGCTTTGATGATCAGGACACCCCAGTGTCGATAGGGAGGACCACTTTTTGGAGTTTTCAAGGGAGGAAATAGCTTGTAACATGAAGGTTCTGTTAAATAAAATGCTTGTTGTCATTGATAATAAATGGAGTGTTCAACAAGACCATTATCAAATACATGAATGGAACAATAAGAAAATGAAAGGTTTGAATGTTTCATCATTTATAGCTTGGGAATGGTGTTAGTTTTCTCCGAAGAAAGGTTCTACAAGCTTAGGATACCATTGGTTCTCGGACCAGCTTTAGGTAAATATGAATATAGACCTTATGCTCTGTATCTGGTATTGTTTGATGATATATTAATTCTAATTGATTTATAGTTGCGTCCTAAGAAGCACAGACATGAGACATGAGACACGAGATATGGATATGACACAATATAGTCACGTTGGAGACACACTATAAATAATTGTATTTTATGAATAAAATTATACAATTTATCACAAATTTATTAATAATGATATATTATTCATAAAAAAATCAGTACTTTATAATAAGAAAATGTAATATCTAGTTACCTATTGTGAATTTATAAACTAATATCAAAATTATCAATAATCATCAATTTTTTCGTAGAAATGTACCAAACATATAATTTAAAATGATTACTCTCATTTTCTCAATTGTTTTTTTCTAAATCTTTTATGTATCTTTTGTTTTTATTATTATATTTTAAGTACAATTTTAACATGTCTAGTTTTGGTAATTATATACTCTCATAGTATAAGATATTTAGTAGTCAAATTTTTAAGTTTTGTTAATCTCATGTTTAACACATTTATTTTTGAGTAGTAGTAGTAGACAGTCTAAAAAAGTGTTCGACACGTGTACGAAATTAAAATTTTATCATTTAATTATGGACAAAGATAAAAGAGCATCCGAAACATATCTAAGGTGTCTTAAGGATACATCACATTCTTGAGAGTGTACGTGTTCTGTCGTGCCAGAATTGCGCAACTCGGTGAATCCAGTCCCTAAGTTCTAACTCTAGCAATGTGCATATGTGGTGTTTGAAGTCATTTTTTTATCTGCTATAGCCTATTCTTAACATGCTTCATGGTCTCTTAACGATGGAAAGGAAACATGGTATCTTGATGATTGTTTCTGGACCCAATTGTAATAATGCTTTTACCTTTTCCCTATAATTTTTATACACATTGCTTGTTTGCTTCATGCTTTTACGTGCCGGAAAGACTTACTTTAGCACTACATGTGTGGAACACGGATGAGGGATTCAATATATAAGAGGAAGATCAGTCTGCTTTCTAGGACCAATTTTCAATCTGGAGGAGATTGATGGTAACAAATTTCTTGTTGAGAACCATGTTTTGACTTTTTGCTTAGGACTCAAGTGGAGGAAGTCTCACCAGCTGCATTTGGTGAACTAGGATTCTGGGTGGAGCCACTTTTTTTGGGGTGGAACTACTTTATTTTGCTTGTTCTTCCTAATTAGTTTTCGAAAATTTCAGAGGAATGGCATGCATAAGGCATGTGGAAGATGAATTTTAACTCCTGCCATTTTTCTATTTCCTCATTTCATTTTCTCAGAGATGATTAAAGGATGATGTGAAGGCATATAATGGTGTAATTCTATAATAACGAGAGGGATATCATTGAAGAGCATTTGTTGTGGGACTAATATCCAAATGTTGATGGTGAAATTTGATTTTCTAGTTATCATTATTTGATTGGTCGTCTGTAGTGTAAATGATATACTATACCTAGTACTGAAGTTTATCGCCTATAACTTGGATGGAGGAGTTACAAGTGAAAGCACAAGGAATGTTTGTCCAATTACAATTACATGAAGCTTTCAACTGCACCATCCTATCATAGGATAAAATGTAATCCGAGATAAATTTCAGAAGATAAAAAACATTGGGGGAGAAAAGTGTTCAGTCTTCCTAAACGTAGGTTGCTGTTCTCGTTGTTTGGTCTTGTAAATTTGTGCAATGGCAGAAACAGTTATCTAGTGCATGTTTAGGTTCTGATATAAATACAAATAGAGTTGTGGATCTATCTTCCTAGTTAAAGTGGTGAACATAACATATTTTTTTTCCAGTTGACACAGTCAAGTCTTGAAGCTTAAGTGGAAAACAGGTGTTGCTGTTTTTAAGATATTCTACTTGTGAATTGCAGTAGCATTACAATTTCTCTTTTTTTTTTTGGTTGTTCTTTTTAGATCTTTTTTTGTCCTTTTATTTATTTATTTATTGTAGTTTCTTCAAATCTGTTTTTTAGTGAAAATGTTCAAAACAAAATTGTAGGATGGCATCTGTATTATCAAAGATGGGATTTCTATTTTTGGAGCAGGGCTTCTCCAAGTTGCTGGTTCCCATTTGCATTTCAACCAGTGTATGTTGTAGTGCTTCAGGATTTGTTTACCAGGTACTTCCAGCACTAATATTTGTTATGCTGATGTAGCATAATATGAAGGCCACGTGTGGTTTGTACCTTTTGGAAATGTTGCTAAACATGTATGCATGTTTAACTTGTATTACAATATCAATATATGTATGAAGGCATGGTGTTGGATACTCCAATTTATGTACATACCAATGTCCATCTCTGCACCTTTTTACAAGAAGCTACTTTGGTGTAACTTTCCTATTTGAGGCTATTGTTATAAAATAGGCTACTGAATATGGCCTCATATGTTAACTAATCAGAGACCATTGCGGCCAATAATTGTGTTATTGATTTGAAACAGACAAGAGGCTTGAAGCATGGGAGGGCAATTGTAGTGTCTACATGTGCTGCTGTGGCATCAATCGTGACTGGTGTTCTTGCTGGTATGCTTGCCCTGGGTGAAAGATTGCCGTCAGCCCCAATGGCTCGTCTCTCACTTTTGCTTGGATGGTAATGTAAATTTAGTTGCCCTGTTTCACCTACGTTTTAGAACAATTTTCTTCTTGTCTCTGGCCCCCGAATATTAACACAAATACCATGTGCTGGACACATGACATGCAACAGTGAAAGACCCCATGTAAGGATTGTTCATGCTAGAGCATCAATGGTTAGACATTTCACTACAATCTGCTTATGAGAGTTTGCCTCTGAGAGTGTTTCTGTGTGAGAGAGAGAGAGAGTAGTATGTGGTCCAGATCAATTAGTGGTAACATTTTTGTAGTACCTTTCATGGGTTCTATTTTACTCTGTTGAATTATTTTTAGCACTTCCCTAGGTTATGTTGTATGTGAGGGACATGAGGGTCTGAGTCTCAGATTCTACTATTTTATGACTCTGATTCAGATCAAAGCCTCCAATTGCAGGTTATTCATTATTATTGGTGTGATTCTACTGGTAAGTTCAACTCGGGTGGTGCGGTACCTTCCAAGGCCATGGCGGCATCTTTTTCAAAGTGCTGTTGAAAAGAACTTCAGCCTTAGGCAATCAGCGTCACTTCGAACAAAGGATCCAAGCCCCAGTGCGGTTATCCAGACTTCCACCTTGCATCATTTGATATCATCTCCCACTAAAGAGAGAGCTTGAATTAAATAACAAGAAAGATGCTGCACTTAACTGGGCTTGCTGAAGTTCTGTTGAAAATGCTTGCGCATAACAGGAAGAGCTGTTTGGCGTTATTGGTCTGTTGCATACAGTAATCCATCCGCTAACTCATTGGAGGGCATGGAATTTTGAGAGCATCTATTGAACTCGACATCCATATCCATGTATTGCAACATTTCTTATGAATGGGTCGTTACTCTTTCCATTCTATTTGATCTACTCAGACCTTAATGATGATGGTATAAAGGTGGATAAAAAGCCTGATTGTATTTTTAATTTGTTATCATAGAATGACATCTACATTTTCAAGGTTTTTGCATGTCAATAATTTGGCATGTTTGAAAGTTACATTCAACACTTGAGAATAGGGTTATAAGAGATTTTTTAATGTTTTGTCATTATTATTTGGTATTGGTGTGGGGATTCCCTAAGGCAGGCCTGACCTATTCTTTGGAAAATCCTGAAGATTGGCGCTGTTTGAGTAGTTCCTATAGGCCAATACAAGAAGAGAACAGAAGCTATTTGTCATTTGCTTCGTTGCACTGCTGTTTGCAACTTGGAGCTACCTATGGCGTAGTGTTCATCTACCTTAACCCCCCACCACCACCCACACGCACACAACAAGCGTCCCCCAAGACTAATTCACTTTACCAGGAGACGACTGCCGTTTCTTTCTCTCCCCCCCCCCCCCCCCCCCCCCCCCCCCCCCCCCCAAGACTAAGAATTCACTTTGCTACTGGACTGCTACCATTTCTTTATTCTCCAGAATCAGTCAGTATGCCTTCATAAGTAACATACGCATAAAAGCTTTTCTTTTATCATTGTAGTTCTAGTTATTTTGAAATCACTTCAGTTTTCTGGAAATATGAGATTGGTATTTAACAATTAGGTAGGGCTGTTATATAAACTGAACGATTTGAACTCGACTTGATTTCGGGTCATTATTAGAAAATGAACTTAATGTGACCAAATATTTAACTTTTGAGCCTGCGATAGTCAAATTAAGTCCATCCTAAATTGAACAAAGTTCAAAAAGCTCAACTTAATTAACACGCCGGTGGACTGGGAACAAGGACACATGCTGCAGTACTTTGTTCTTCCCCTTTTTTTTGGTGGTGGTGATTGTAGAGGAGAGGGATAAAAAGATTCTTGCCAAGCATGGTCCCCGCTCCGGTGATGGGAGACAACCCCTACTACCCCTAGTCGATTCTTAAGTCACTTTAGTCTTGGTAAACTGTAGCTCTTTAGGGTCAGCTAAGGAAAGAAAATGACCCATAAACAGAATCATCATCTCTCTATACGTGTTACAACTGTTCATCAAATCACCATACCAAAAATCCGCCACATTCTGGACAAAACCCACCTTAAAAATTCTGCAAAAACAAATCCAAAGCCCCCTTTTTCAAACCAGACAAATAGTAAAAGTTGCTCCAGGCGCTTGGGCCCTTGGTAAATAATCCCCAGAGAATTCCATGTGAATTGCAGTTGGCACCTTCAAATAAAGACAAATCTCACGTTCGAAAGCTACAGACCAAGCTATGTTTTCACACATGTGACCGATCAATTGGCACTAAATAGTTATCCTTTGGTAGCCACACCTGGAAGCTTATATAATAACCAAGTACCAACCAACAATTGGCCCACTTGCACTGTCCTTTGTCTGCTACCATATGTGGGCAAAGGAAGGTCTTCCAGAGTACCTTATTTAAGGAAAACTGACTTTCTTTAGCCACTACATTAAATTCTGAGGACAAAGTTTTAATTGTTGTTGTAAAACAAAAAAATAAACAGAGGGACCACAATCGGCAGCTGACCCTAACTATTTGGAAAAAGATTCTAATAAGTTGAGTTGAGAGAAACAGTTCTACAGATCAACCATGGACAAATAGTAAAAATCATGATCCTAAAATTAACAAAATAACTAAAAGAAACCCCAGGTCATCTCATTCCCAAGGGACCTTCAACAAGTTCCGTGACTTGGGAGAAGTCAAGTTATTCTCCAATTTTTAACCTTCAAAATTTACGAGTCAATTTTCATTTCTTATTGAATTTTGAGAGCTTACAATTTCAGTCTAAAGATCGCATTTTAAAAACAAAAATTCCCTCAACAATCGGAACTGAAAATGATCATCTCTTTTTTTTATGCTGTATTCAAAAACATGTGAATGTCTTTCTTTTGACCCCAGTAATGGAGAGGAATGGTTTTGGGGGAAAAAACAAAAGAAAGAGGAAAACAAAAAAGAGCTTGCTCAGGAATGATTTCTCCTTTTTAGCCACCACAATCGCCCTGTTATAGCTTCTTTAGTGAAGCAATAATAGTGGCACTACACTCTTACAGAAATAACCAACACTTGATAACTTGGACAACAATTGATAACCCTAAGCTTAAATTATGTAAGGTATTTATGAATGAAATCAGTAATAATACACAAATAATATCATTCTCAATCAGTTGCATGACATTGAACTACTGTAGGTGATGATGCATCTCATAAATAAAGGAGTTGGTGACTCAGTAAGCCTTACCCAGACAATACGTTTTCCAGCAAAACAGTTCTAAAGAAGCAGTTAGATTAAGTGCAAAAAATCCTTCTCAAATAGATATCTAATCACAGGTTGAAGCCAGTACTACTCTTCCAACATCCAAAATACATGCCAATTTTCTCAGTTGTGCGGGTTCAGCTAAATTCATCGCATACTGCAACTCTTAATTTGTTCAAAAACATAAAACTCTGACAGCTTCGAGGCTAATAGATGATAAATATCAAAGGTTGTATGAGGATTTGATAAGAAGTTATTCTTCTCTTAAGTTGGATCCGAATGTATAAAAACAACTACAAGGATAACTAGACCTATTTAGCCACACTTTAGGTTTGTACTAGATAAAGGAAACTGAGGTTGCGAAGCAGAAGTTTATGGAATTTAGCTTCCAAGAAGTATCTATCTTTGCCCAGAAAGAAAGAGAACAATCTCTATCTAAAACTACCAAAGGTCTGCTGAGCTTTTGTTCTGGGGGATCAATTTCTTGCTTAACCCCAGTCAGCCACAAGTAACTCCTTTGCCTAACTACCCTCCAAATGTTTATTTTGCAAGAAAGTGATCCCACAGACAAAAAGGCCAACTGTTCACGATGGAGCAAATGTTTATTTTAACTAATTACAATATAACAAACATAAAAATTATTTACTGTTGCAAAACACCAAGCACAGCTTCGGTGATTGATCCCATTTTAGTTACTTATTATCCAGCATCTTTATTTCAAAGAACCAAACCTTTCAAGGACATGCCGTCAAATCAACTATAAGTTGTAGTCAAGCTAATGCCCTGATAGGCTATCCCACTTGACATGAGAATGTTACGTTCTAGAGCTTCTTACTAGCTCTTTGCATTTCAAAGTTCTTTGCCCTCTCATAGGTGGTAACAGCCAAGATGACTTCAAAATAGTGAATGGATTGACCATTCCATAAAAACTAAAAGTTTTTAGTGCAGAACAGCAATGATGATCTACGAGAATTCAAACCACAAAGAATTGACAATAGTACATAGTAATACATTATATCTGGCCCCACCTGAACAGATTCTCATACACATTTCAAACAATGATGAATCAGATCAGGAATCTATTTGAAAGAAAGGCCTACCACCAAAGCCGAAATTCATTGTGGATTCTGTCCCCAAGAATAGTTGTCAAGTTGCTCCATTTGCCAGCTTTCATGAGGGGCAACATGATCATGGGAAGGTGTGTATTGCTGCAAAATAAGCAATAAAATTAGACTTAGAATGCATAAAATCCATAAGTTTCCATCACTAATAGTTCCCCATCAGAAAGTAAGGAAAATAAATTTTTGTCATCCAATAATTTGAATAATCCCATGCCAGATATGTGTAGCAGGCACTGCATAGGACATAGGTCTACAAAGAAAGTACCAACAGAAAGAAAAGGGATACATTCAACAATTTTGAAAAAAACTACTACTAAAACATTGAGCATAGGAAGATCCCAATGTCCAAGCTTTTATCAACTTTTTGTTTTGTTATCTGCTTTTCAAATGGAAACCTCGTCAAATAAGCTGATAGAATCCATAATTCTGGCAGGGTTGACATTCTTGTACAATTATATTGTCAAGAATCCCTTCAACTTAATTGAAAGTTATACTCAAAATAAAGTGAAGTTGTTTATCTTAAACTAGTCCAATTGATGGAAGAAACACTACATTACAATAGCATTACTTTTTACAGCAAAGTTTTGCATTTACACTAGCTTTTCAAACACATAAAATCCAAACTGGAGACAAGCAAAACTCAAGCAAAAATAGGATTGGAAGACTAAATTCAGTTAGCTAAGTCAGTACCTCCATCTTTATTAAAAGCTCTTTGGCAGTTGGAGCAGAGAGAACTATGTGCCGAGCACCTGGCTTGATGAAACCTTCTTCAACACCATTGTCGAATAACGCAAACAAAGAGTTATAGTAGCCATCAACATTTAGCAGACCAACCTGTACAGAGATTTGCCCATCACATCATCTAGTAATTCACTTCATCTACTAGCTTTCAGAACAAAAATAGATGAATCACCGGTTTTCTATGAATCCCAAGTTGTGACCATGTTATCATCTCCAATGTCTCTTCCATGGTTCCATATCCTCCTAAAACGATCCAGAACACAAAAGGGTCAGCATAACAACATGCACATGTATGCTTTTTTCTTTAAAGAAGAAAAAAGAGTCACGAGACTTACCAGGAAGTGCAATAAAAGCATCGGCCTCCCTAGCCATTTCAGCTTTACGCTCATGCATGTCTGAAACAATTCTAACTTCACCAACAGTTTCACCAGATATCTGTCAAAGTTAAGTGTTCTAATAATTTACAAATATCTGACAAATGGAATTTTTCACACAATTCAAACATTATATAGAGTTTCAGTCACTTTCCGCGCAAAATCATCCATAGTAAGAATCAGAATGCTGATGCAAACACAAATGACTCAGAATGTAATTCAGTGTGCCTTTGTAGGCCGAAATCTCAAGCCCCTCTAATAAATCAATGAAACTATTTAAGCAATAACCAATAATAAACCAAGTCAATTCAAGAATACAGCCACGAAAGCATCACCACTTTAACAGTCCATCTATTATAAACATATTGATAATAACGCATTTCTAAATTTAAGAAAAGAAAAGCAAAACATGTTATTCTCGCATGAGACATACTGGGCAATGAAAACATTACCTCAAGAGGTACAAGAGCTTTTGGAATAACCCTGCAAGTGAGGAGCATCAAGAACTAATGCATTGATAAAGAGGATTATCCAGTGAAACACACAAAACAGAGTACATATTGATCAAAGCATATCTCATAGTTACCCAAGGACATGGCACCCTCCATCAAGTACTCTTTGGGAAATCAATCCCATCAACCCAACGCTTCCACCACCATACACTAAATCGAGCTTCCTATTCACCTGCAATCAATATTCATAATATCAGATAACACAACCCACCAGAATTTCCCAAAAATAATCAAAGGACAAAAACCAAACTGTCCCATTACGGAAAAAATAATCAAAGGACAAAAACTAAACTGTCCCATTATGGAAAAAATAATCAAACACTTGATCCTCAAAACCACAAAGCCAATACAGAATCACAGTCAATGTCCAAACCGAAACCAAAACCCAAATGTAGTCCCATTGCCAAACATAAGAAGACCAGTTAAATACAATTGACACTCGTCTATCTACTCCACAATACAATTTCAATATCATAGGGACAAGTCAATGTTTGTAACTGGAAACCAGAACCCAAGCGCAGTCCATTGTCAAACCCAAGAAGACCACTTCAACACACTTGACGCCCACCTAATAACTCCACAATACAAACTCAAAATCAAAGAGACAAGTTGACGTTTTTAAGACCAGAAGCCAAAAAGCCAACAACCCAGTAATCAAAAAGGAAGGGTCCCAGTCCAATACATAATGAACCAGATTGAAAAAATAACCCTATCGTTCTAGTTTTGATATCGAATAATTAAACTTGCGGAAGAAATAAAATACCACAGAGGGTCAAAAAGAAGATTCAGTGAAAGAGGGTGCAATCAAACAAAACCAACCAGTTCATTCCCTAACTCAACAGCAGCATCGCTGAAGACTTTTCTATGCCCAGGATTGCTTCCACAGAAGACGCAGACCCTCTTGAATTTGATAGTTTTATTGCCGTCCATTAAAACAATCTTCACCGCTTTATCAATTCAATCGTAATCTAATGGAGACAATCAAAGTTTGCAAATTAATTCACTTTTTAACAAAACAAAACAAAACAAAAAAAAAATATGAAAATTAAAAGAGCAAAGATGACACATACAAGACAAGTGGTATAAAAGACAATCTAAGTATTTTTAGTATTGGTGAATACATAAAGCAATTGAAGTGGAGAAAACAGAGCGCCTTCATACTAAATAATAATATAGGGGATAGATGTAAGTATGATGAACAAAACACTAGAAGCCCACAGGCTCCATTCCCTTTCCAATCCGACCTCTTTCTGTCGGCTTTTGGGTTTGTTTAATGCCATCAGTTAATAAATAATTCATCAAAATTATTTTGTTTTTCTCAATCCAAAGAAATGTGAATATCCAAGAGCCAGTACGTGATACGTTTGGAAAGAGTAATGCTGGTTTTACTATTCTACCCGAAAAAAAACACACCAATTAAAATTCTCCATAATTAAATTTAGGACTACAATTCTTTGTCACTCTGTATCACCAATTTTAGCTCTACACATTTACTTAAATTTTCCTTACGTATTTTGGGTAATCCAAGACAATTTCGGAAAATTTTGATATTTTGCAGTTGACTTCATTACTTACCAATGGTATAAAACTGATCCACCAATCTCAAACCTTGTCAATTGATATGATTGCTTCATCTTTGGCTAATCATTTCCCAGCTCTACACGGTATTCAAAGTTATATATTATTCATAAAAATAATAATTTTTTTTGTTAAAAAATAATTTATAAAAATAATAAAATTTGGAGATACTTTTTTACTGTAACCAAGTCGCCTTCTAAATAAACAGTTTGACAATTGAGACTATTTCTACTGTCTTTCAATTTTTTTTTCTATTTCAGTCACTCACCTCCTTCTTGACGGATCCACCTTATTAAGATATCGAGTCTACGTCTTCCGAAAAGAGACATTAGCCTACACTTGAAAGGAATAGAGGATAAAAATCAATAAGCGGCATGTGGGATGGCATTCAAGTTACTGAGCTGTTAAAAACTAAGAAAAAAGGACCACAACTTCTTCATTGGTTCTTTTGGCTAACACATCCAAAAAAATTTTTTAAAAAAAAAGAAAAAAAAAAGGGTTAATTACAAATTACACTCCGAAAGATCGTTCGAATATCAATTTTCACCCCAAAGATTAAAAATCTCAATTTGCACGCTCAAAGATAGAAAGTTATATCAATGTGCATCCCTAAAATCAAAAATCTCAATTTACAACCTCAAAAATAAAAATTTGTTTCAATGTGCACCCCCAAAGATAAAAAATCTCAATTTGCACCTCAAAGATAGAAATTTGTATCAATGTGCATCTAAAACTAACTGCCGTCAATTTGTTCCCTGAAACTAAATTGATAAATTATACCTAATCATTTGGACCCTTTCACAAAATAAAGGGTAAAATAAAATTATAATTTTTTTATTAGGATAAAATTATATTTTTTAACGGTTATAAAATCATAATAAAAATACTCTCAATCTAAAATGTCCACCCAATTGGGCATTCAAATAATTATGTTTAAGTGATATTGCATTGGATATAAAAAATATTATATAAATACCTACATTCTATTGAACATTTAAATTGTCAGTTTGATTTTGAACTTCAAAGTATATCGGACCTACAAAATAAAGGGTAATATGAAATTATAATTTTTTATTATGATAAAATCATATTTTTTAACGATTATATTAACAGATATCAACTAAAAAGGGTTACGTGTTATACGTGCACAAACGTAATGAGATGTAGGAGTAATAGTCTAAATGTGAAGAGGTCCTAATGATTGAGTGACAAGCGTGAGGGGATTTAGGTATAATTTATTAATTTAATTTTAGGCAGCAAACTAATGACGGTTAGTTTTAGGTGCACATTGATACAAATTTCTATATTTGAGGGTGCAAATTGAGATTTTTGATCTTTAGGGGTGCACATTGATACACATTTCTATCGTTGAGGGTACAAATTGAGATTTTTGATCTTTGGGGGTACACATTGATATAAATTTCTATCTTTAAGGGTGCAAATTGAGATTTTTTATCTTTGGATGTACAAATTAAGATTTGAACAATCTTTCGGAGTACAATTTACAATTAACCCTAAAAAAAATGTTGGGCATAAAAGAACAAAAATGCCCTTAAAGAAGCAGAAAATCGTATACTATGATAGAAAGCGTAGAAGTATAAACAATGCTTAATTACCAAAAAGCTATCGGTTCTTCCAAATTACTCCAAAAGTCCATAAAACAACCACTACTTTTATAATCATTTCCTATTGTAATATATTCTATATACATTGTATATAGAGTGGATGATCCTTAACTTTTCAATTAATGCCTTAAGGAGTCGTTTGTTTGTTGTATAATAGGGTGTATTAAAGAGTCATATTCGATTAAAACACTTTGATACGGATTTATACTATATTTAGATGCAAAAAAGGATTTCGTATTATATATGAGATTAACTAGATATATATTCTATAAGAATAATTCTAATACAATCTATCCATACTATTGATCTATTTTAATGCTACCAGGAGATGTGGTATTGTAATATAGGCTAGGTGTATTCTATCTTTAATTTATAATTTTATCCTCAATCTAAAAAAAATTCACGTGACCATTCCTTCTTATTTATTTTAATAAAAATTACATAGATAACGACATTAATAATAACCAAATGCATATATCCAAAATACACTTTTACACAATTAAAGCATGTTTGTTTAATTCGAATATTATTTAAAAATATTCATAATAAGTAATATTTACATAATTTTTGATTCTATTGATATATAGTCCTTGAAATATTAGATCATTATAAGGGATCAAATTGGAGATGATTGATGGCATTTTAGTCCACTCATTTAATACCATTGAATAAATTACCTAACCAAATATTATATTGTATTTGACATTTATTATCCAACTCTTAATACTATACTTACCAAACATTTGACTAAAACTGTTATTATCTTTATCCTCTATTTAATCTTAGATTTTATCTATCTATCCAGGATTATCCTGTATTCTCTAGTACAATCTCTCTTTTCTTAATACGACATCCAAACGACCTCTAAGTAAATAGGAATTAGTGTGTGTTAATGCATTAGCCTAAAATCCCCTACCCATTGATATACCACCTTTAATATTGTATTTGATGGTTCATTAAGTTTGGATGCCTATAAAAAGAAGTCTTGGGTACATTGAGAAATAAAGTTAAGAAACTTTTTATCTAGCATTCATATATTCTCTTCATTTCTATCTCTATATTTTTAGTTTTGCAACATTCCTTTCATTTTAGAACGACTCCTAATATGGTATTTGTAGTCAATTTGTTGGCAAGATTTAGTTCTGCACTAACTCGATGACATTGAAATGATGTAAAACATGTCCTACGCTACCTTCATGGAACTAAAAATTTGGGCATGTTATACTCAAAGCAATCAATCAACGAGTCATATTTAGTTGGTTATGCAGATTTTGAAAACCTATTAGATCTCCATAAGGCTCGTTCTCAAATTGAGTATACTTTTACATGTGGTGACATAGCAATCTCATGGGGGGCTATCTACCAAGAGGACTTTGATTGCTATATCTTTCAATCATTCTAAGATACTTGTACTCTATGAAGTGAGCTGTGAATGTGTGTGGCTAAGGTCTATAGTTCATCACATCCGAGATACTTGCAGACTCCCTTTGATTACAGATTCACCAACAACCTTATCTAAAGATAACGCTACTTATATTGCACAAATTAAAATAGGGTTTATCAAAAGGTGATAGAAACAAACACATTTTTCCAAACTTCTTTTACACTCATGAACTCCAGCAAAGCCATGAAATTGAAATAAAGCTGTAGTAGCCTGCCAAAAGGCCTTGCAAGGTGAGGAGGTGCTATAGCTTCATGTGTTGCATCCCACATTGACTCAGGAGGGGAAGTGACTAGGCTATATATGTGATGTACTCGCCCTTAATTGTCAGAGGCCTTTTCTAGGGCGAAGCCCTAGAGGAACAAAATCGTGAAGGTGTGTGGGCACACAAAGTAGATAATATTTTGACAGCTGGGGGAGGTCATTACAAGTGGTATCAGATTCAAATCTCCTGCAGCCAGTGGGGGGTAGGGTGGATCCCATGTGGGCCTCGCGAGGATGCGTGGCCTCTAAAAGGAGTGGAGTGCAGTAACCTGCTAAAAGACTTGGTAAGGTGAGGAGGTGCTATAACTTCATGTGTTGCATCCCACATCAACTCAGGGGGGAGTGACTAGGCTATATATGTGGTGTGCTCACTCTTAATTGTTGACGTCTTTTCAAGGGCAAAAACCATGAGGGTGCATGGGCACCCAAAGTAGACAATATCTTGACAATTGGGGTGGGTTGTCATAGATTGTAAGACCTTGTTCTACAATTAAATAAGACTAATATCATCTTAATATTTTTCTTAAGATGAATAAAAGGATTGTAAAAGCCTCGAATCATTTTTAAAAGATTGATTATGAAGTTTGATTCTCAAGCGAATTGACTTTCGGGTCAAACTTAATTTTGGAGTTGTTTAAGCTTGAGAAGGGTGGTTAGGTAAGTTTATAAATGTTTTTAGGCCAAAATAAGGCCTCCATTGAATCTGTAAGATAGATAAACTTTGGCAGATGTAATATAGGGTGTATTAGAAGTTAGAAAGTATTTCGGAGTTAAAACACATTTAAGAAAGAATTTGAGTAGGAAGGAATTTGACACTACCTTAATATTTCAGCCATAAATTTTTACTCCAAACTTCAATTGAGATGATTTTTAGACCGTAGAAACATGACGTCAAGAGGTACAAAAGTGTATTTCACGATAATTTTTGGAATCAACTTCTAAATAGGTGAAAGTTACTCTTGATTTCGGGATAAAAAGTTGGTACCGTCCGGATGGTCACTGTTCGGACATCACTCCCTACCATGAAATCTTATTTTTCATAAAAATCAGAGACTTGAAACCATTCGGAGGCCCCCAGGCGTCGTCTGAGCACCACCCTAAAAACGGCCTTGATCAATTTTTAGGGTTTTCCTCTGTTTTCACCTTATAAATACTATAAGGACTTCCCTTTAGACATGTTTCATCAGTTTTCAACCCTAGGCAACCCTATAGAGCAAGAGAGAATGAGAAAATAAAAAATTCAAAGGGATTATAGCATTGAGATTGATTCAAACACGCTAGGCTATCTTTAAACATCGGATTGAGGTAGGGTTTCTTCCTAAACTTTTTCATTGAGACTAGGGTTAATGTATATTTTTTTTTATTCTCAACCATATGTATATGATATGTAATCATGTTCTTGGTTTTCTTTTAAATTGTACCATGTTTTGAATGAGATTATTG